CAGGTGATGAAGAACATACAGATGAAGACGAAGAAGAAGATAATAATGAAGAACAAGATGGTGAAGATGATCATTCAAATTCAAATAGTGCAGTTATATTACATGCTCCTGAAGAAAATGATTTACTTCAAATTGAAACAACTACAGTTATTGAACAAACAATTGTTACATCTGATCTTTTAAATGTTACACCTGTATGTATGATAAATCTTAGTATAGTATTGATTTATTATTTATTTATTATTCATAGCTTAAACCAGAAGAAACATCACCATCACATCGTACTGATTTAACACCTAGTATATAATAATTTTAAAACGATTTTTAATTATCTTTTATTTTATTAGATTATCCATTAATATTTCCTGAAGATGCTGACATTCGTATACCACCAGAACCTGCTAAGAGTTGTTCAACTAAACTTCAAGTAAAGAATTTTTTAATACAAAAAGAAAAAAGCCTAAATAAATAATCTATTTATATTTGAATAGGAAAAATTTGAAGAATATTATAAACGATTTAAAAAAACAGGTGTTGATCAAAATGTACGTATACAAGAATTAAAAGATTTTCGAAATCCATGGTATTGAAATATATATATATAGTTTTTTTTTCTTCTTTGATTATCATTTTTGAATTTTCTTTTTTTAGTATGTATGAAAAAATGATTTCTCATTTGGGTATTGATGAAATTGGAACAAATTTTCCACAAGTATATTTTATTTTATGTTTATATATTTAATTATGATTATTTTTTTTTTTTTTTAGGAATTATATGATCCACATTGGTGGGGTAAAGAATCTTATTATGAAGAATTAAGTAAAAATGATTTGATTTATTTAAAATAAAACTAAATTGATAAGAAGATTTGTTTAGGTAAAGCACAAAAACTTGAAATGGATCGTAGAGAAAAAGAACGACGAGAACGAACAAAAGTATATATATATATATATAAATTCATTCATCAATATTTTATAATGAATTAAATTTTTTTTTTTAGATTAGTTTTACACCTGGTGTTAAAAAAGTTGATCAACTTGGTGTTGGTTCATCGATGAATCCTGATATGGGCGGTGAAAAACGCAAAACTCGTTTTGATCAATGATCATACATATAATATTTATAAATATCTACTATTTGTTGTTTCTACTGTTATTATGGTTAATAGATATTTAAAATATATTTTCTTTTTTTATTTCTTTGATCTTTATGAAAAAGAAGAGATATACATTATATAGATTTCAAATAATATGTCAATTAAAATATTTATTAGACAGTTTTTTTTCACGTAAACTTCGATTTCTGTCCATATTGATTGTGATCACTTGTCTATATTTGTTATTTTCCCTAGTTGATCGTGTAATACTCAGTATATTGATTTTGGTTATCTCTTACACACTTATATCATTCTGACCATAAATATAATAATATGCAAAGAAAAACTTAGATATATATATATATTTATTTAATGAAGATGAACAACATGTGAACTATATAATTTATCATAATATTTTCGAGTATAAGTTTAAATCTTCTTTTATTAAGTAGTGTCTCATTGACAAAAGATTTACTAAAAATTTCTAAAACAAGAAGATTTTGATGCCACTAAAGAGAATCTATTCTTTTGTTTAAATTGATTTTTTGAATTAAGTAAATTAATATTATTCTTTTTAATTTAGTATTTTATTTTCTGATATGATGTTTATTAAAAGAATATCAATTTTCAAGTTGAATCCAAACGTAACAATCCAATATATACATGTTAATCCAAGTAGATTTTCTTTGTTTCATTAATTTGGTTAATATTCTCCATTATCAATAGTAAATAAAAGACCATTATAATGTAATTCACATTGAAATTCGTTGATATTTTACTTATTTATGTTTGTCAAAATATTTTTGTTATTGACACAGAACTTGCATTTATTTAGTTTCTTGTGCTCGTACATAACTTTATGAAATACAAACTTTATTATTTTTATTTGTTTTTTCTAGATGAACAAAATCTTTTTTTTCTAGCATCGATTGGCAATGAACTTGAAGAGATTCTCTCATATATATATGTGTCAATAATCAAAGTTTAATTGTAAACAACAATGTTGAGATCCGAGTTTTTTTAATGTTTGACTTTGTTCTACTTGTATTTTATTTAGATGAAGCAAAGCAATATATAAGGATTACTTGTTGTTTTTTTACTCGTATGATTATAACTTTAATGGACTAACTGAAAGCAAAAAAAAAATAAATTATTGCCGTAAAAACCATATCTTCAATATAGATATTTTGTTACAGAAAAGATGTGTACCATCATTAGACACAATAATGATATATGAAACAAAAATTACAATAACTTATAAAATAAGTGTGACATCTGTTCAGTTTAGCAAATTGTATCTAACTGTTTTTCTCAAGCCTTAGTAGACACAGTGTAGGCATTATTTTTTTTTCTTTGCAGTTAGCTGTGCCAATTGATGCTCATTTGCCACGATTCATTCATCTTTCCGAAAGAATATATGTCACACCTGCCTGATAAGTCCTTGTAGTTTTCGTTTCTTATGTGTATCTGATGATAATACCAAATGTCTATGAAAAGTTTACATCTTATTTTCAACAAATATCCATATCAAAGACATGGTTTTTACAGCAGAGTGATTGATTGATTTCTTCTTGCTCTTATGAATGAGTAAATTCGAATAGTATGTTTAGCTTTTCGTTAATATTTATATACATATATCTACTACTCTTCTACTAGTACATGAAAGGATGAGGAGAAATGTTAGTGACCGACAATTGAAAGGATTGTATTGTTATATTTTATTGATACATTAAATAATACGAGCACTGAAAGAATCGATGTATATTATTTGAGTCGATTCTCAATAATCTATTCTATTTTATCTGTTCATAAGATGCCATGCATGTTACTTTTTCTTCAAGTTTTCTTTGTTGTCTCTATAGAGAACAGTTAATTTAGAAAAGAAAACTTTTAACATAATTGTTTCTATTGCATTTCTATCTTTTAGTATTAGCAAACTATAATGAAGAATATTTTAATTACAGGCACCAATCGAGGTATCGGTTTTGGTATTGTGAAGCATCTTATTTCAAATTCACTAAATCCTGAACTTATTTTTGCTGGTTATCGTGATGTTAATAGATCTCAAGTAATTGTTGTAAAATTTAATATTTCTATCAAAAATGTATTTTTTTTTTAAAAATCATCATAGGAATTATTAGATTTAGCAAAACAACATTCGAATATAATTATTCCAATTCAAATTGGTCTGTTTGTTCTTATTTACATGATGAAGAAAAAAAACAACCTACATTGATATTAACATATTTTCTTTTAGATGTCAGTAATGATGAAAGTGTTAATAAGGCAAAAATTGAAGTCGAAAAGAAATTAGGAAATGATCGAGGTCTTAATTGTTTAATAAATAATGCCGGTGTAGGTAAGAATATCAAATTCAATGATATTAACGAAAAAAATATGTTTGATGCATACAGACATAATGTTCTTGGAGCATGGCGAGTAACAAAGGTGTTTGTGTATTTTTTTTTTCTTCTATATATAAGTTTACATCAATGCTTTGTTTTCTTTTTCATATTTAGGCATTTTTACCTCTCGTAGAAAAAGTAGTTACTGATGAACGAAATGTTCTTCAAGCTAGTATTATTAATATATCAACAAATCTGTCTTCAATGGCAATGGCTTCAACTCAATCATATTTTGCTTATGATTATCAATGTTCAAAAGCAGCATTGAATATGTATACTGTATGTCATGCAACAGAATTGGCTAAATCAAATATTTTTATTGCTTTACTTCATCCTGGATGGGTACGAACTGATTTGGGTGGTAGAAGAGCACCATTGAGTATTGACCAAGCATCGAAAAATATTATTGATTGTATAACTGCTATGAAAAATGAACATTATGGAAAATTAATTGATTCTACGAATGGTAGTAAATGTAATATACTTCCATTTTGAATAAATAACTTCATATATTACAAAATTGTCGCAAGAATATTTTTTTTCTTGTGTAAAATGTAATTTCATATAATAATAAATAAAAAAATATATATAGACTTTGTTTTATTAGAAACGAGGGCCAATTTTTTGTTTTAGAACATAGATTCTCGAGATTAAAAGTGTTGTGATTACTGGAGCTAACCAAGACAGCGGTTATGGATTAGTTAGACAATTTTTGACATCTAAAGTCTATCATATCTTTGCTACTCATCGTCAAATTGATCGATCGATCTTTAGCCAAAGAATATTCAACAACAATTATACTATTTCAACTTGGTTAGTCAATTTTCTGAAGATGATATAAAAATAAAATTTCGTTCTGTCTACATTAAAAAACATTACCGATGATACAAATGTTTGAGAAGCAGTTGATAAAGCGCAAGAAACATTAAATGGAAAAGATCTGAATTGTTTAATTAATAATACAGACATAGCAATAAAATTAAACGTTTTTTTGTATTAATGAAAAAGATATAATGGAAACATATCGATTAATACACATATATCCATCAGAAATGTTCATTACCGTTGCCGCAACGAGTCTCGAACAATTCTTCAAAAAAAAATCTCTTTCGTCACTGTGCCACATTGACACAATTAGATTGAATCCATTCGATTCACCATAATCTGACTGCTGAACTTGTAGACACTCAAATGATATACAAATCCATACAATTTTACAATCTCTCTTTAAAAACAGCTGCCGCTGCCACTCTAGTATTTTGGGTTAAAACAGAAATGGACATAGATAAAGCTTCATTAACAATCGATGTTGCACCTAAAAATATTTTAAAATGTTTACAAGCAATAACAAATGAATATTATGGTAAATTAATCGATGCACGCGATGGAAAAAAATTGACTGTTGTATCTTTTTAATGAGTACTTTTTTTTAAAATTTAATGCAGTTTTCTTCAAGATAAAATCTTTATAAAAAAAAAACAACAACAATATCTAGCGATCATAGCAGTGTATAACGATATGATTTTCTATTAGCTATTGCGCTTGCATGTCGAATTGATTTAATTATTACAATTAATGTCATAAATGTTAAAGAGATATTTGCAATGAATAAAATAATTAAAATAGTATGCCGTATTGATAAACCACTTTCATCTATCCATGAAGACCATTTTGTTTGTGTTTTATTGAATAATGAAGACCAAGGAATATAAGATAATGGCGAACGAAATGTATTCATAATTGTTGTACTATCCTTCACTTCGTTCTCATCAGTTAAGTTGGTCAATAATACAAAATGATCACATTCACCAGAATAACAGAGATGACCAAGACAAATATTTGTGGAAGATCGTACAGTTACTTGACATGTATTTGAAGAATCTAAAGAAACAAAATGAAATGATATTTTACGGATGCTTTTCCTATATATACTTGTTTTATTCATACTATTCAGTATACAACAACTGCTGGTACATGAATTTTCTAAGTTATTAAATATTGTGCCAATAGTAGTTGTTGTACTAATGAGTTTTCTATTATTAGTATCACATTGATAAAGATCAATGTTAATTGAAGAATAATTTTGATTAAAATCGTTGTAATCATTAATAGAATAAGCAATTGTAATAAAAGTAAATTGATAATGAAAAAAGAAAAATAGTAAAAAAAGATAAAATTGCATTTCGTTCTTGTATTTCTATCCTGTAAAAGACAAGAGAAGAATGAAATAAAAAAAAGAAAATGTGACTTTTCATTCTCATAATAGTAGTACGACAAATGGATATAAAAGAAAAAAACGCGAGCACAGCTGGCTTGATGATTCGAGCAGTCAGATGAAGGAACAATGCTATACACTGAATGTAGTCTTCATGTAAATTTAGAATATTTTTTTTTAATTTTCTTCAAGTTCACATTATTTTCACTCTGATGAGTTCGTTCTAATATCGATATTGCGATGCCTATCTTTTGTGATTTCTATACAGCTAAAAATAGTTGCTTGTTTGAAAGGAATACGTTGAATTCTCTAAATTTGTAATATTTTATCGATCATAAGTATAAGATAAATTATTGATGAGATTAAGTTCGAACGAAATTTGATACAAAATTCTTTATTATTTCATTATCTGAAACATAAGAATAGACAGATATATTATTCATTTTTCCTTATAAGAGAAATATAATAGATGGAAGACAGAATATATAGAAAAAAATAATCTTTTCTCTTGAACCCTATTTAATCGATTAGAAGACAAAATAGATTGAGTTTTTGAAGAATACAAATTGTTGGTCTATTTGCGTATGTAATTCTTTCTATGATCATCTTGTTTCGATGAGAAAGAAGGATTCACATTGACAATTATCGATAGAATCAAATATATGCATTCCGTGAATCGTAGAACTAGACACATCTGGAATAATATCAAGATCAAATTCATTATATTCATCCATACTGTCATTTTTACTAGACTGCTCGTTAGCTTGATGTTGTTAATTGTCTTCATTTTCTTCTTCATCATTATTCATTTCAATAAGTTTTTTTGTTAGAAGTTCCACATTTTGATCTTGCTAATTTCTTGTATACTAAATGATTTACTTCTTCGAAAGATATCGTCTTATCATTGAGATCAACAATAGAACATCCATGACCTCCCACTTCGCCTCATTTTCCTCTTTTTTTCACAGAAATAGTACTGATTGATGAAAAGGTTCGTTTTTATTACTTCATCTGGTCGTTCATAGTTTGATATATCTTTGTAAACACACATATGCTTCCTACTTTTATTATGTCGTGGCAAATAACCAAGAGACGTTTTGAAAATGTTTACTAAGCAGAAGTAACGACTTTTGAAATGTTGTCAATTTTTCGTTATTATTACTAAAGTATATCAAGTTTCCTTTATTGAGGTTATGTTACATAGCACTTTGCCTAGGTCAACTTCGCATATTATTTATTAGAACCTCTTTCAGTTTTGGGGATTCGTTTCGAAATAACTACTGAAAACACTATTTGAACACTTTCTAGTCAATATGCGTGTGAGTCATCCCCGACTCGAGTTTTCTCACGAGAAATTGTCGATTCTTGATGCTTCATAAGTAGATATATGAATGTGTGTTCAATTCTTTCGGTCACGCTTCCTGATCTATCTTTTCTCAATTCCGTTTGTCCTGCAAGGTATGCCGCATACTAATCTATGCACTGTTCAATTACGTGTACAGGTTGATTCAAGAAAAAAATGATTAGTTCTCAAAATTCAAAAAAGTCTTGACAACAGAAAACGCATAGGTTACAAACCTGGAATATGAAAAATTGATTTTGCCGCCCAAGACTTTTTACTAGATATCTGAACTCAAGATTCTTTCGAATTGTGATAAATTACGGAAAAGATGCCATCAATGTAAGGTACTGTTCACTTACGAAAAGGTTCTCCATTGTTGTCGACAGCTGAAAACAAGTGCACAGAGACTAGAATACCGAGATGTCCGAAATATGGAGGTTTCCTCTATGTGAACAGTACTGACTTTAAGTTTTCGGCTTGACGATTTCCACGCACACACAAATATAGAAAACATTTGAGACCTTTTCACACATCAGAAAAACGAGTGAAGTTCATCGAAATAGAATAAAATCCGAAAAAAATCTACGAAATATCGATACAATTCACAAAACTCAGAAATACATGGAAAATGCAGATTTTTATGGTCGTTTAGTATTCTCAAGTATTCAGAGATGTAGACAAAGCAAAAGTTCTTTGATAAGTTGGAAAAATTAGCAAAGTTAACGAAAATCCAATAAAACTGAGAAATTTTCAGAATTGTAAGGAATGAGTACGAAACTAAATGGATCCGAAGTTGACTTTTGCTACTTTGTTATACTGCCTCGACGAGTTCTTCATAAATGGAGATATTTGTTAGTACTTTTCGTCCGCAAACAACAAAATTCTCTTTTATTTTGGACATCGAATCCTCTTTTTTCTTTACAAACAGTCGATGGAATATTAGTCATATTGAAAACTGTTAAATATTACTCGAATAAAAATATCAAGTTTGGTTCTATTTCAAGGTTGTAAAAAATTATTTTTTGAATTATGATCGCTGATTTTAAATGATTTAATTTTGATTTTTAGCTAACTGAAATCAGTTGTTATCTCCTCGGAAATTCTCCTATAGAGATTTTTTAAATTATTCTAGCACCAATACATACACCATTATTTGTATTAACAAACGTTTTATTACCATGAAAATTATTATATTATCTTTCAAAATGGCATTGGATGTGCGTGTGAGCGAGAGCAAGTTTTTTTTAAAGTGAAGAGTGCTGAACTTTCTTTTTTTCATTTTACAATCTTTTTTAATAAAAAAAAAAATACGATTCTAGAGAAAGATTAAAATTTTAATTTCTTCTGTAACATATATAACCAATCTATGTGAACTTAACACTTATACAAATACAAAAAAAAACTTTATCTTTAATTATTTTTATTTCTTTTTTTTTTGAATATTTTCTTTAAATTCAATAATATCATTAAAACCAGAATGAAATGATATCATTATAGTTAAAGCATTTTTCATTAAAAAGAAAACCATTTTACTGGAACTATCTGACATAAATGTAAGAAAATACCAACGTATTATTAAAAATGGTAGATCTTGTGTTATTGTTATATAAATAACTGACCACATTGATGTAGAAAAAATTAATTCAAATAAAACTAAAGATTTATTTTTTAAATTTAATTGAGAAAATTTTTTTCTATGTAAATTTCTTGTTGGTTTTATTTTCATTTGTAAATTCATACTAAATTGAAATGTTGACATAATAAATATAATAAAAATAATTGTTTGTAAATTATTTCGATCTTGTAATTTATTTAAATTTTCACCTTGATGAAAATTTCCATAAAATTCTACAATATCAGGTGCAGCAGCTAAATATTGACGTAACATTTGAGCAAAAAAAATTTCTTCGGAATTTTCTGTTTGTGGCCATATCCAATTAACAATAACTAATACAAGTAAAAGTAATTGTTCAATAAGCATAAAGCCAGCTAATTCATCACTTAATATACCAATTAATGTAAAACGATTAATTAATTCTCTCCAACGTGTACATGAATTTTTCATAAATGACCATAATATAATTAAACTTGGATCAGTTCGACAACGTTTAGATGATTGACATTGACGATATTGTATTTTAGTTAATAATGAACACATTAATTGAAAATTATCTTTATTAAAAAAAATTAATTCATCTTTTGAACATTTAAATATATATAATGGAATTTTCTTTTTATTATAACCAATTAATTTTGATTCAAAAGTAATATTAAAACAATATGTTATATTACGTTTAAGTAATAATTCAATATTTGTTTGTTTAAATATTTGACTAACATGTAATTGATGTTGTTTTAATATTTTTAATGTTGGTACACATGTTACAATAAATAAAATAATTGATGGTGAAAACCATTTAAATTCTTTCCATTCACCACGAAATTGATAATAAAGACTTATACTACCTTCAATTGTTATTGCTAATATACCACAACAATATGTTAATACATAATAATTTTGTGTTACACACATTATTGAACACATCATAAACATAGCAAAACCAATTAAAATTAAACGAACTGATAGACGACGAAGTGTATTACTATCAAAGAATGAATTAAATTTAACAGTAGACATGAAAGAAGAATCGATTTAACAATGCGCGTTTTTAGATTTTATTTTGTTGTTTTTTTTTTGGAAAATATTAATATTGGTTGTACTTGTATAATATAGGATGTTCAAAAAGTCCGATCGAAAAAGAAATATGAATATCTCATGAATGGTCCAAGCGATTAACGTAAGGCTTTTTTTATAGTTTCATTTCATATCCATTAAAGTTTTATTTCACATAAATTTATCTTTAATAGATCGCTTATACACAACTCTATCATTTTTGAAACTATCTGTAAAAAACATCAGATAAAATTTAGTTTGAAATTTTTTTGATATAAAAAACGTTGAATCACGTTAGCTCAGCTGAGTGTAATGCTCATTGATATGAATTGTCTCTTCTATTGCACTTGTAATGGAGAAATGTTCTCCAGAAATTGACAGACTTTGTGATTTAAATAGAGAGAAACTTCGTCTTTGTGAAATAATAGAGAGGTTATGTCGCATAATCATACTTGTGGACTCAAAAAAAGAGTTTTACGCATAGTAAAATAATTTTTTTCATTGATAATATTGTCGCGACATTACTTTATCAAGATTTTCTGTTAAAAGGATATTCACGTTTCTTTTTCGACCAGGTCTATGAAACATCCTGTATATTAAATTCTTAGAATCTTTTAAAATCAGATCAGTCAGTATACAATGTCGTCTTTAGCTATCAATTCATCTGCGTAATGTTCATTTGATAACTGTAGAAGTTTTTGTTTCCCATAATTGTAAGACTGTGATTCCATGGAATAGGATTTGAAATCTATATGAAAACAAATGAATACATATTCTGTTGTAATTTTGAAAAGTTAGATGCTAATATATTCTAAAGGTAACAGTCCAGTCAGTCAACATTGATGTAATGATGGTTGATTTTATCAATACTCTTAATTGAACATTAACAAAAAAATTTACTACTAATGGTAATTTCAATATCGAATAGTCGAGAATCATTATTTCCTTATAGTTTCATTTCTATCCAATCAATGAAAGTAAAAGCAACTGAGTCTTTTTGACTAAATACTATTTTTGCAATATTTATCATCATACAGTGCATAAATCTAATTTATGATTTGTCATATGAAAATATAATTTTCTAAAAACCATACAAAGATTTTAGTCTCGAAATCATCACAAGTTCAAGCCAAAACAATTTTTTTTCTAATAAAACAGAATATATTTAAAGCTAGAAATACAATAGAAAAAGATTCGTTCACAGATCAGTTCTATCTTAGAAAAAAAAGTATTATTTTGATGATATTGAAATAAAAAAACAACAGAAAATATTTCTTTAATAAAAGCTCATTTGAAAAGTTTTTTCCTAAATTTGACACAGTTCAAATATTTACAGACATATCTACATATATACTCAATTAATGATAGCAGTATTAACTAGTGAAATTTATTTTAGACTATTAGTGACAAACTCTGAAATGATGCAGAGAATTACAGGGTTCCCAAAATTATAGGCCCCCTCACATATACAAAGAAAAATCTTCCTTTCATTTCCAGAATATGTACTATAGATCTACTAATAGTGTATGTGCATACTAGCATCTAAGCACTGCACAGTATCATTGTCTCTCAGTTTTGCCACTTGCTGTTTGGAGAGAAAAGTTCAAAATACTGAAAAGTTGCTGTGCCATAATTATAGGCCCCCTTGCGGGAATAAGAGATGCAATCTACATTGCTTGTAATTCTATATTGTCCAAAGTCCATATTATTGTTAACTATTCTAATGTCGATGCCAGAAATAGATGGAGAAAACTGTAGGAGTAATATCTCGCGAACGGATCTAGCTAGCAATCTCATCTTTTCAGCATTAGAAAGAGTGGCCTTTCGGGGTCAAATGTATACTATATTCAATAGATTAGTGAATAACTAAGGTTGTTGATTACCGTTGAAGATTTTATGCCCTACCGAAGAAAAACGTTTTCAAATAGATTTTCAATTCCAAGGTGATCATTCGATAGTGCAGAGTCTGCTCTTTTAATCTACGCAAGCTCGAACTTTTTCTCAAGTATCGTTCAAAGCTTATTCTTGTTACACTGGGTGTCTGTAACGTGTCAAAAATATGATTTTTTCGAGAGAGAAGAGTCTTTTCATTGTTTGTGCATGAGGGTTTTCGACCACTGTGAGTCGCATAACGATGAGTGATTTGTTATTCAGATATAATTCATTTTGATCACCACTATGCTCTATCGCTTTCTTCTGAATCTGATATAAATGACGCTGTCCACTATACATTCTCGCTTCTATTGGCTTGTAGCGTGAAATTTTGACTCGAAAGATGTTAAATGTACTTTCTCTTTTCTATGTTTCTGCCCATTTTGTAGAATAAAGAAACGATAGATTTTTTGGCTATTTCACGCTCATCTACATATATATATGTCGTATCGAAGTTACACCGGTCGACAAAGTTATAACTTTGACAGAGAAAGTTGACGAAGTCACGTGTCTTCTGTTGAGATATTCGACTGTTCAAAAGATGGGTAGGGGTGTATAGGTACTTGTTTCTTTAGTCAAACCGACACTCACACCTCCACCTACACTCACACCCACACTCTTCTTGCATTCCATGAATCATTTCGACGATATGTTCTATGTAAGAGTGAGGTTGCTCTAAAAGAACCAACACTCACTACCAATATTGATAACATCAGGTCTGTCGGAAGAATAACAAACAATCAAAGATTTAATGAATAAAGTATAATCGAACAGGTTTTTTTGTCATTGTTTTCTTTATAATTGTAAATATTTGTTTTTTTCTACCATTTGTTTAATACAACTCAATATTGAAAAAGAAATTTAAAAAATCTGTAGTTTCTTTGTAGACAAGTATGAGTACAACATTTAGACACCTATGAATTAGATTATTCGAGAAAGTCTTATCAATGTTTTTCTTCTTGGATAAGTTTTGTGACAAATATTTGTATCATCAAGCATTTTTAACTAAAGAATTTTTTGAAATGCTTTCCAACATGAGTATCCAATAATAGCATATAATTAATACATATTAAATACAAACGAATTTTAAACTATATGTTATTGTAAAGAAAATTTACTCTAATACTTATTGGCAATTCCGTTCGCAAAATAAATTACTTGGTTTTATTTCAGATTCATTTAGGAATATATGTTTAGTTATAGAATACTCAATGCTCTATACCATAGTCCCAAGCTTTCAGGATTGAGTTGAGCTGAGCGAGGCTCAAAGAGCCGACGCGTTACTTGTTTTATTGCCGTACTGTATACAAACCCTACGATACAGCTTGTTTATATTCTATTTTTGTGTACGAATATTTGATTACTTTCCATATATAACTAGATCTTTCTTTTCCATTGGATGACAAGGATCATAGAAAATAAATTCTTTCATTTGTTTTTCTGTCAAGATCTTCATACAAAATTGTAGTGCGATCAACGATTAAACGTTTCTTTTTTTCTTATCAAGATAAAATATTTTCTTGCTGTTAGAAAAATATCAATGATTTTTAATTAATATTAACCTTTTCAAAAAAAAAAATTGTTTCATTAACAGATCTTTTATTTGTAATATTCAGACAGAAACAAAACCGTTTATAATTTTTTTTTCACAATGAAGCACAAAATAAATGAAAGTATTATGCATAACAAAATCTTCTAATAATGGATATTAAGAGAAGAAGAAAGAGAAAGAATAACATCAAAAGAAAAAGTAAATAACCAAATCAAAATATACAATTTAATATAATACAAGAAAAAACAAAAAAAAATAAGTTAATCATCATCTTCATCATCACTCGCTACTACAGCTGCTTTTTTACGTGCAGTTACGCGTCCGCACCACGTTTTGATCGACTTATTGTTTGCACTTTTGGTTCTTTTCTCATTGGTCGTTTAAATACATTTTCATCATCATCATCGTCGCCATCATTTTCTTTTAAATCATCATCGTCATTATCATCAGCTAAAAATCAAAATGAATTATCATAATATTTGTTTTTTTTATTTCTTTAAAAATTAAATCTTACATTGTTTTGCTTTTGCTTTACTACGACTTGTTGTTTGTTTACCTTTCTTCGCTCCACCAGCACGAGCAGCTATTGAAAAATAAAATAAAATAAAATAAACTTTGTTATAAATAAAAAGAATTTTACGAGAAAAGTACTCTGACTGATAAATTGCTTTTAAGTTAAGATTATATAGAACCAAATGAGCTATGTATATCTTGAAAAAAGTTTGTGCCTGTAGCTTATTGCTGCGGAGCTACTACACTTCCTAAATCAATCTCATAATCCCTCTCAGAAAAACTCGTTTTTAAATTTCAACTTGAAATTTCGCATAGAGACAGACTTAAACAAGAGAAGTTTATTGTGAAAGTTTCAGGCCTTTTGATTGACTTCTATACTAAAATAAGAACATTAAATCTGCTCATTTATACGAGTGACGTAAAAGACATACTATTATCATAGTTCTATCTTAGAATAGTAACAGTGGCAAGATCTGTAACTTTCACAATAATCTATTCTAGTTAAGACCTGTTTCTATACAAAATTACAAATCGAAATTTGAAAATGAATTTTTTTTCTTAAGGATCACAGCATTCATTTAAAAAGTGCAGAATCTTCACAGCAATAAGCTAAGGACACGAGCTCCTTTCAGAGTATTCATAGCTCATTTAAATCCACATAATGCACATAATCTCAACTAGAGATGTGCGAGACCAACTGTAGCTCCAGTTTCGGTCACTGTGATCATAAGAAAAAGGGTGTGGATGTGAGTATAGGCCTAGACCTGGACCACCAGAATGAGAAGTTGCTGAGACCGGACGGGACTGAGACTACGAGAAAAAAGTTGTTTCAACCGAAACTAAAGATTATAGTTCAATATTCTCTAGTTTTAAGCAAAGTATCTTATAAATCATCAATTAGAACATAATTCAAAAGAGGTGACTGAAAAAGTGCCAGTCATCGACTAAATCAAAAAATAAGGACTAAAGAAATTTTTTTTGATGTGATATGAATAAACTCTGGAATAGTTTTTTCTAGACTGTGATCGGAACGGATACCAAAAAGGTCTGCCCCACAAATTGAAGGACTTTCATCGTTAGTTCTTTTTTAGTTTTGATTTTTTTTACCTTTTGGTTGTTGTTTTGTTTTTTGTTGTGCTTGTTGTACAGCAATTAAAATTCCATTTGGTGATCTTTCTTTATTGATACGAGTCGATAATTCACCAATTAGAACCTTTTATAAAGAAATCGGATCATTTTCAATCAATGAAAAATAACAAACAAAAGGAAAAAATTCTTTTTATTTTTACTTTTAAATCAGGTTTAGCTCCTAAATTCTTTTTTGCATTATCAAGAATCGTTAAAAATGATTGATAAACATCATAATCAACTAATTTATTTGCATAATCATTATAATCATGAAGTAGACCTTTTACTGATTGTTCATTAAATGTTAATTTTGACA